CATATTCGGCAGTTCTTTTCAGAATGGGCCAAATGGGTCCCTTTTGCTTCCTTTCCCTTTTTTCTTATACCTTTACTCATCATCAAAATTGGAAAATTTCTATCTGCTCAAATATGCCTTGTGACATTAAAAACAGCAACAGCAAAACAGCCAGTCTCTCTGTATGATCAGTGGGTAATCCTCCCGTGTGCCATACTTTCACGCTTGAAACCCCTGCTGTGAATGACCCCACCGAGTCCTGTGCAAGCGCCTCAAACCACAGACACTCCCATACATCCAAGGCTCTTGCTCACCATAGGGCAAGAAATTACAAAAATGCCCATTCATCTACTCTCGATGAATTTCTTAAAACTGAAATCAGTTTGCAAGAGAGACTGATTTTTCAGATTAATGAGAATATTAAACTTAGCAAAACCCTTGTGCTCTCAAAGACGTTCACCTGTACCGGCAGTGCAACACAAACACAAGATTCTGAGAATTCTTCTTCCAAGACGATAAACCTTACAACAAAAAATATTAGTGTGCATAACATCCAAATATTATACATTATGACTGCAACGTGCAAATGAAATATTTTTAAAGTAGGCAATGAAGAGCTGGAATTTATTTCTGAATCGGATATGTTCTGTAAAACTATAGCTAAGAACTGATGTCAAAACCCTATTAGAATATGTACAAAACTAGAGTGTGTATTGCCTGTCACAGAATACTAAGGAACAAATAACAAAAACAATTTTTAGATTACTAATAAGAAAATACAACGAATATAGTTGTATAACAATGCCTGAATGTCTTTAGAGATCGAATACGTGAATAAGTCAAGAGAGAATGTTACTAAGGATGAACCTAAACTACCTGTAGGATAAATTACGTGAGGTGCTTATACCAACTCCTCCTGAGGAAAGAAAACATTATGTACCGCAATCATGTACGAATGAATAAATAGGAAATTAAATTTTTTAAACCCCTAAATTGGGCCAGGGATTTAGGGCTGTAGCACCACTCCTGCCTCCCAAGTGCAAGGTCCTGAGTACGAGTGCCAGTAGCAAAAACCACAACAACAAAGAACCCTAAATTATTTCCATGAAAATTGATACCAATGGTGTTATGAAGGAGAATTAAAGATTGAAATTCAATTTTCAATGGACCAAACATCTCCATCTCTCAGAAGCACCCAGGTAAAGTTGAGTCTGTTCAACCTGGAAGACAAAAGACAGAGTGAGAGCTGTGAATGCCACCTAGAGAAGGAAAGTTACATGGAAATGAAAAGCAAGTGTGTGTACCTAAAAGAAGGAGGCAGCGGTCCTTAGCTCCAGATGCCCGCATAGTGCCCACGCAATTCAGAAGTGAGAGGCCCTCCGCCTACGAAGAGCTTCATCTCGGGCCAGTTGTAGCAGTGCGTGTAGAACCCACGCAATTCAGAAGTGAGAGGCCCTCCGCCTACGAAGAGCTTCATCTCGGGCCAGTTGTAGCAGTGCGTGTAGAGCGAATAAGGCATCTCTTCGATGCCATAGAATTCATATCTCCAGAGGTCATCTGGATTCAGACGGCCTTTGCTACAGGTGAGTCTGAGCTTCCTGCCTGAGGGCTCAGGAAAGGAGTCCAGGCTGGTGACAGACCTCTCCACCAAGAACTTCTGAGCACGGATGTCAAAGAAGAACAGGCAGCCCTGGTCTGTGCCCATGGTAATAATATGCTTGTAGGAGCTTATCGAGCGCACACTAATGCCACTCTCTATGTGACACAGGGGTCCAACCGCAGCATTCAGTTGACTTTGGCGAGGATCCATTAAACAGAAATGAGACTCTGTGCCCACTGCATAGAAGGAAAAGTCATCGCAGTAGGTCATGCACATATTTTGTTGGGCAAAGGGCAGGGTAAAACAGTGCAGCCTGGACAGGGTTCTATGCGCTCTCCACAGGTGAAAGTAGCCATCCAAGGACACTGCTCCGAATTCATGCCCCTTGCCACTGAAGGCCAGGGCTTGTACTTTGGAGGTGCCATAACGGATACTGGATCCAGGGATGATCACTCTGTCTCTGGGACGCATGTGGGCATACACTGGAATCCCCTGCATATTTTCCCCGACAGTGTTGCCCACGAACATGTCAGAATGCACTTCCCATAGCACCAAGGTCCCATCCCAGGAGGCACTCACCACCACATTGTCACTGATCCACGCGATCGAGGTGATCCAGTCTTTGAAGCTACGAGTATCGCCCAGGCACACAGGGTCTAGGGAGGGCAGCTGGTAGACCGCGAGACTGTTGGGGTTTTCACCCCCAGTGGCCATCAGTGTCTTGGAGGGATTCAGCTCGATGGCACGGATGCCAGATGCAGAGTGTGCGTAGGCCCATCTAGGCCTCCTATCCTGCATCAGTGAGACCGGTGTGATGTGGCCCGTGTGCACGTCCAGCACAAACAGCGTGTTGCACTTGGTGCCACACACCACCTGCCTGTCATTCACCCACTGTGATGCTAACACCTTGTCCAAGCTGCCCAGGTCGAGCTGGCGTTCGGTCAGCAGCTCTGGCAGCCTCGTTACTGCACTTCTCTGCAACTGGTCCCCAATGGCCTGGAGAGTGTGGCGGCCCGGTTTGCCGATGGAGCGGTGCTGAAGACAGTGCACCACCGAGCGACAACCAGTGGGCTCCATCTGCTCTTGGGGTCGGAACGTAGGCGATGACCACCTCCAGGCTCCCATCTGGTCCTGGCTTGTGGAGGCCCTGCTCCTGCGGCCCAGCTGGGCCCATTCCGGAGGGGCCCCACTGCCCATCCTGACACCCACTTGCTGTGGCTCCATGATGCGTCTCATGCTAGGGGCACTAGCACCGCTGCTGTGGCTGGGTTGCTCGCTGGGGGCAGGAGGGTTGGACATGGTGACAGTGGGTTGGCCGCGGAGATGGTGGGCACGAGGGCAGTGGTGTCGTTTCCTCAGCGCAGACAAGACAGCTGCGTCTCAAGGTGGAGGCGACTGGGACGGCGGTTGTCTGCCCGCCAGCTGAGTCCTCACTGCCTCTACAGCAAAGGAAGCAAAGGCCGCAGGTCCAGGGAGGAAGGAGCTGCCGGAGAGAGCACAGTGTGCTGCCTGGGCTGGGGAGGCAGGAGAGGGCAGGAAGCTCACCTTCCGGTGGTGGAGAGAAGAGGGTCCGTGAAGGAATAAGGAAGATACCGCCCCGGAGAACAGGCAGAAGGGAACGAAGTCTGTCAGGGCGGCTACGGAATCAGTGAAGCAAAAGGGCACCTGCCAAGGAGGGGCAGAGTGAAGGTTCTGGAAGCGGCGGAAGTCAGAGAAAGTCCATTCGTTGGGGGCGCGGGGAGGAAGTCACTGATTGGACAGACATTAGCAATTGGGAGGGGGGGAAACCATACAGGGGAGGTGACGTAGCTGACGGTATGGCGCACCAGCCTTGGCGGGGCAAAGAAAGAAAGTTTCATTGGGCGGAAGGGGAAAGTTAATGTGGGATTGGGGAAGTGGCTTATTGTACTTGGGGAGGGGAAAGAGAGACGGAGAACTTCCATTGGTTCTGGAGCAGGCAGGAAGTCAGTGATTGGACAGAAGTCCCAGAGGAGAGTCAACCATTCCTGGCCCGTGGGCAGGGCTGAGTCTAGTTGAGAGTGAGGCAGGAGGCATCCAAAGTCAGTTGGGCTGGCCGCGAGAAGGTAGTGAGTTGAGGCACAGGAGCTCAATGAATGTGGCTGTGGCAGGGGTGTAGCTTACTGCCGGTGTGGGTGGGTCCATGAAAGAAAAGAAAGGCCATTGATTCGGGGGCAGGAAGGAGGTCGGTGACTAGAAAATAGTCCCTGACAGGAGGGTGGACCGCAGACAGATAGTGGGCGGGGCTCACGGGTGGTTGGCAGGGAGGCCGTGGGCAGGGCAGAAAGTCAGAAGCCTGGGTGAGGACCTGGCTTGCTGTTGCTGAGCGTAGGTGGGTCCAATGCCAAGGCAAGAAGCTCAGTTGGGTGGCTGCAGGACGGAAGTCAGTGATTGGCAAGAGGTCAGGGGAGAGGTAGGGAAAGGGCTTAGTGCAGGTGGGGTGAAGTGGCAGGGGAAGAAAGTCCATTGGTTTGGGTTCGGGAAAGAAGTCGGTGACCGGCAGTCAGACGGTGACAGGTTTCCCCCATGTGCTGGTTCGAGGCTGAGTGTAAGCGGGGATCATGGGAGGGCAAGAAAGTCTGTTGCCTTGGCTACAGGAGATGAGTCAGTGATTGGCGAGAAGTCACGCATGAAGGTGTGGAGCACGTGTGGGGCGGGTCTGAGTGTGGCTGGGGATCAGTAGGAGAGCACGAAAGGAGTTGGCCTGCTGCAGGAGAGGAGTCAGGGATTGGCTGTGACGTGGGGTGGGCTGAGGGGATGGGGTCGGGCTGAGTTTAGGTTGGGGAGTGCAGGGGTGGGAAAAACGTCCACTGGGTTAGGGGCAGCAAGGTGTTTCAGTGAGGGCAGGAGCAGGAGGAGCACGGTTCAGGGGTGAGCAGTGGGAAGGGAAGAAAGTCTATGGGGTTGGCAACAGGAAGTCAGTGAATGGACAGAAATCAGGGACCGGTGAGCAGATCATGGGCGTGGGGCCTTGGCTGAGTCTGGTGGGGAGGAAGTGAGAAGAGTAGGCACGCAGGGCATCCTGGGTGCAGCACTGGTACCCGAAGGTGCAGGAGGCAGTGGAGAGGGCTGAAAGGGGGAGAGGACTGAAAGGGTGGTGTGAGAAATGCATTCACCTGTCCAGATACAGAGAGTGGGCTTCGGAGGCAGGAAGGGCGGCGAAAGCAAAGGTGTTTCCTTAGCCGGGTCTAGGTGTTCATATGATGGACGGGCACATCCAGGCCAGTCACAGAAAGCAGTTTTAACTCCTAGCATGCAGGTCCCTTCCCCTTTCCCCGTGGCTGGGCACTGGGTGGGGGCCTAATTCTCCCTAGATGATGTGCAATTAAGCGGTTCCGCAGCCCCCTCCCACATGAGTTTGGATTTCTTGTCACGTTGTCTAATCTTTTCCTGGGGACTTGTGGAGAGGCAGGTTTTCCTGTTGATGATCCTGTGTGTATGACTTTGCAGTTCCAGGGCTAAGCTGTTGCTACTAATCCGTCGCTAAAAGAATATGCTACCCGTGTCATTCCTGCCTTCTGGGGAGGCTTCCTCTCTAGATTATTTCTTCGCAAGGGCCCCTTTGCTTAGAGTCCTCCAAATGCATGAACTTTTTCTACCGGTAACTTTCCACTCTGGCTTAACCATTGCCTCTCGCAAATGCTCCACTGGAAGAATTGACATTCAGATAAGTGAGGCATATAGGACTCCAATAGCCATGATAAAAAAAATTTGACAACTAGACATTATAATAGCCAAGATCCCCAGAGCCCAACATGGGAACAAAATACTACAAGCAGTTAGAGAAGAGAAACAAATCACATACAAAGGAAAGCACAGCTAGCTTGTCAACAAAAACCCTAAGTCAAGGAGAGCGTGGAGTGAGGTATTTCAAGTCCTAAGACAAAACACTCTCCAACAGGGGCTGATATATCCTGCAAAACTCTCTTTTATAATGGATGGGGAATCCGGCCCTTGTGATACACGCCTGAAATCTCAGCACTCCAGAGGCTGAAGCAGGAGGATTACTGTGAGTTCAGGACCAGCCTGGGCTACCTAGTGAGTTCCAGGTCATTCTCGACTACATAGTTGGACCCTGTCTCAAAAAAACTAATACATACATACATACATACATACATACAAAGAATGGGGAAATAAGATACTTCTATGACAAAGAACACCTGAGAAACT